GTGCCGTACTATTCTGGGGACCTTAAAAGGGACCCTCATTTAGAGAACTACCCTTATGGCCCCAAATCATGGGGAGGTAGGGTCTAGCTTCTCTAGCAAAGGCTCCATGCGCACAAACCGAAGCAGAGCACCGAACAGAAGGCCGTGGATTTCGAGGGAGCGAAGACGACCGAAAGGATCATGTGCGTGTACTGAAAAGTGCCGACGCGGTTGAGGCTGTCGTCGAGGCCCAGGAAGGTATCCTGGGATTGACTGGGTATGATTGTAGCTAGAGCACCTGTTTCGAGTTGAAAGCCAGCCCCAACAAGTAAAGCCTGTAAAGCACGTTGGGAAATAATTATATTAGGGGTTTAGGGTTTAAGGTATCGGTATCACTATACAAAGACCTTGTAGTAGCCACTGTAACAGCACCTTGTAGTAAGCGCTAGGGTAGCAAACCCTATAATCAACGCACTTAAAAAAAGTAGCCATGACAACTGCCCCAAAACTACAGGCCCTGTAGTAACCCTCGGAGGAACCTTAGGGGAATACCGTAAAGAACCAGAGTCTGCGAGCACCGCGACGAGAAGTGTGAAATGCCTGGGCCACTTTCGGAAAGCCAGGCAGCTGGAAGGGAAATGTAGTTATCACACAGCTGAGGGTGATGCTGATGATGAGATTTGTCGCTGAGGAGGTGGCGATGTCGTCAAAACCATGGTCGTGACAGGGTAGTGTTGGTGATGATGAAGGTAATGAGAATGACGACGACGACGACGGTGATGCTATAGCTTTGACCCCGACGTGATGTGTGGTGTTGTTCAGCATCACCAAGATGAGAAGTAACTGCTTACCCCTTGGAGGTTCTGGAAACACGGACAATCCTAAACCCTAAACCCTAATCCCTAAATCCTACACGCAATCCCGAAACCCCAAACCCTAGGGAATTGAGCTGAAGTTCCTCCAGACCGGCACCAAACAACTTCATAGAGGGACCCTCATATTAGAATTCGGCTTCCGGGGTACACTACGTACTATAATGCTGTAGTAAGGCGCCCTAAACCTTAAAGAATTTCAACACCTGACGGGATTTAGAACCCTAAACCCTAATGTAGGTGCGACCCAAGTGCAGCACTGCGCAGCTCCGAACCAGGATTTGTTCCGTGATTTGGATGCTCCACAGCGCGACGGTGTAGACACCGTAGGCTAGGACACCGAGCCTACGGTGTTTGGGGTTCAGGGTTTGGGGAGCCTGAGGTATTGACCCAAAAAGGCAACTGGACAAAAACAGAAAAGTTTTGGGATATCCCATAGTCCCCTGCCTCTTTACGTAAGCCAAGAAGGAAAGGATATCCCACCCACAGTTTTATGTTGGGGTGCTAAACCCTAAACCCCAAACCCTAACCCCCAAAGTTAGTGGGTGGCCCTAAACCCAAAACCCTAAACCCTAAACCCTAAACCGTGCCTTTCGCTTTCTGGTTCCTGCTAAGGACAGAGGCTCCTAGGTCGAAAAGGCGTCTGACAGGGTTCTGCCACGGGGTTCTTGAAAGGGCGTTAGGGTTTAGGGTGTGGTAAGGTAGGGTTTAGGGTTTAGGGTTTAGTTTTTGTTTTTTAGGGTTTAGGGTTTAGGGTTTAGGGTTTACGGTTTAGTAAGGTAGGGTTTAGGGTTAATGTGAGGGCTTAACGCTTAGGGTTCCTCAAAGGGTTCTGAACGGGGTTACCATGAGGGTTACCCGAAGGCTTCTGTGCTCTAGCGGCCTTAAGCTTAATGATTAGAATAGCAGCTCTGCCCCAAGGCCCTACCGACCGAAACTTCTATCTTGAAACACGTTAAGGTCTATAGTAAATAATACGGTTTCTGTAGTAAGGTAACTTACAGTAAATCCCTTAACAAGACCCCAGAACATCGGGAGTAGATTGGACAACCCTGAACCGGAAAATCCGCCCCAAACGCAAAACTCTCAACGATCCCTGGGCCAGGAAGCTAGTTTTGCGGAATCCTTCGAACCCTCACCCAGAAAGTAGTTCCTTTTTGGGATTACCTTAGAGGATCCTAAATACCGGAGAGGATGCTAAAATCCAAAGCGACAGAAAGGGGACTATAATGACTATAATGGAGCCTACGTATTGGTATGGACTCATCCCTATCGTCTAGTAGCCAGCCCATGAGTGAATCACAGGTGAAGCACTTGGGGGATTGCATGACGCAGGATGCGACAGATTCCCTGACAAGAGGCGCATCTCCAAGTACTGCGAGCCCCAAGGAACAGAAGCCCACCCCTAAACCCTCAACCCTAAACCCTAATCACTAAACCCAAAAGGAACAGAAGCCAACCCTAAACCCTCCACCCTAAACCCTAATCACTAAACCCCAAGGAACAGAAGCCAGAGGCAAGAGAGTGTCATACTCGGTGCACGGTAGATATCCATCCTTAGGATTAAAGTTGATTAAAGGGCTTATGGGGATTCAGACTCTTCGGAGCTTGGGTTGAGTTGTCGGGGATTTCGGCTCTTTAGGATCTTAGAGTATTTTTTCGGTTTAGGGTTTAGGGTTTACGGTTAGCTCTTTACAGTCTTAGAGTTTTTTTCGGTTTAGGGTCTAGGGATTACGGTTAGATCTTTAGGGTCTTAGAGGTGTTAGGGTTTACGGCTCGCTCTCTAGAGTCTTGGAGGTTCAGGACAGCAGGGTTTCAGTGAGGATGCACGGCTTGCGAGCCTCCGGAGACCCTGAGCCCTGGACCCTACCTTGAACCCCAAATCGCCTATGCTTTCGAGGATTGTTGCACGGAGACCACGAGAAATCTTAGAAAGGCTGGTTCTTGAGGGTTTCGGTTCGGTAAACCCTCCACCCAAAACTGATTTTCAATAGCATCGGAGCATCAGGCAGACGAGTACCAGAACGAAGGCGACGTGGACGCCCATCTCAGTCCGGGTTAGGATCCCATACAGTCTAAGTGCCTAATATGATAGAAAGGAAACCCAAAACCCCCAAACCTTGCAGGACCGAGAAAAAGCCTACACCATGTTCAAGCAGTTCTACACAGAAGCAATAACAACAAAAAACCCACAAATTTGAGGATAGGCTTGGGGCCATTTAGGGTTTATGGCTTTAGGGCTTAGGGCCTTATGGTTTGCGCCAGTTGATGATTTTTATGTTCGGGCTGGGGGCCTGGCTTCGGGTTTAGGGATACTGACTCTGAAGCCGTCAAGGCCTCAATCCAAACTCCCGAACCATGAAACCTTAACCCTACACCCTAAACCCTTTAAACCCCCAACTAAACTTAAACCCAAAAGCTGCCGTAACCTTCTCTAGAAGCTCTAAACCCCAAATCCTAAAGTTCTCTAGAAGCTCTAAACCCTCAACCCTAAACTGTAAAGTTCTCTAGAAGCTCTAAACTTTAGCCGCAAGCGCTCCGATTTGGGGCTTCAGGTTTACAGGGCTTCGTGCTTGCAGGGTTTAGGGCCACATGACCCCAAACCCTAAGCCCTTAGACTTTAGGGTCATAATTCCCCAAAAAATCCCTTAGGGTCTATACTGTCGTGTTTCAGGTTTCGGGTTTAGGGAAGCCGCGGGATCTGCTCGGGCGTGTTCCCGGACCCCTTGAGACTCAGGTTAACCCGAAACCCTAAACCCGAAA